CAGTCACATTTTACACGAATTCCCCAGTGTGGTGTATTGGTTTTCACTCCATGACATACGAAAGCAATCTAGCTGGGCCACAGGATGCTTCTAGCGTCACATTCAATCGGAGAAACAATGTTTTTACGCAAAAATGCTCCACATTTCGCGTGAAATCATTTGAAATACCCATCATATCAACGGCAACTCACATCCGTCACATCCGGCGCTGCAAGCACGTGGAGCCGTCGTGGACCAAAAGGCTGACTAAAATTCTGCACCGCTCGGATCACGCCTGAGCGGCGGCCCCATCCGCTCGGCGGCGGCCCCATCCGCGCTCGAACCGCCTTGAGATGGTACCAACTCACACACTGGACGCGTCCGATGGCGGTCTCAAAGCAACCTCAAACAGTATCAAAAGGTTTCAAAGTGCCCCGAAAACCTCAGAGCCGAGCACATCCGCGAGTCTCACATGGTCTCAAATCCTCGGCGCCGAACCCGCTCGCGCGTCTCAAAGGGTTTCAAATCGCTCCGAAACCCTCGGCGCCGAGCACATCCGCGAGTCTCACATGGTCTCACAATGCCACAAAACCCTCACCGCCGAACGCAGTCGCGCGTCTTCACGGCTGTCAAACCGCCCCGAAACCCTCGGCGCCGAGCCTATCCGCGAGTCTCACATGGTCTCACAATGCCACGAAACCCTCGGCGCCGAACGCAGACGACGCCGCAAACGTCGACATGGCCACGGTTCTTCGCACGGTTCGGGCTACCTCTGACGAAAGACTCGGCCGACGAGCGAGCTTTTGAACATCTTTCAATGCGAGGGAGAGGGGAAAAAGTCAAGCTAGATGCACTCGCGTCATAGCTGACGTCCTACCTCTCCCTACCGTCCCTTACAATGGCGCTGTCGTTTCTCTATCCGCGGACGCGCGTCGCAGCGGAACTGTGACTCCGACAAGGGCCGCGTCTGGCAGGATCATGGGGTAGAATGCACGTGTGCTGGTGGCGTGCGTGGTGGTGGTGGCGGCGGCGTGTGTATGTGTGTGTGCGTGTGTGTGTGCGCGCGTGCGTAGTGGTTGGTGGTGCGCGTGCGTGCGTGCGTGGTGGTATGTGTGTGCGCGTCAATAAGGCGACGCACTGCAATGCGACCACGTGCGATGCAACGCAAGGCCATGCACAGCAATGGAGCCGAAACGGCCGCACGCATTGGACTAAATCTGGGCTCTTTCACGCAAGGCATTCAGTACCACTGCAACCATAATGGCGACGCCGCGGAGAACGCGGCCCCCACGCGAGCGAGAAATCCAGTTCCAAACATTTCTTCACGGACTGTAAGCCTGCAGCGAAGGGAAAACAAGATGCAAAGGGCACCCACGATGTTCCGCCATTCCCCGGTCAAGGTCGACCCCCAGACTTGTCCTGAAGGCGTACTGATGATAACTTCGAGAGGGGTCCAGCCGTGGCGACGAGGACCGTGCGGGAGACCCAGGACGAAAACGAGGAACAGGAAGAGGACGAGACGAGACGAAACGAGCGCAAAGCCTGCTGGCGCGAGCAGAGCGCAAACGTCGGCGCTGCGGCCGTAGCCCGCTCCGTCCTTCATGCCTTCATGGGCACGGCTCCTCTTCGTAACGCACCGTACGATTGCAGGTCGCTGTACCGGGAGATGGCTGTCTCTAAGAATTAGAAGGGAAGAAGGGAAAGGGAGAATAGGCAAAGAGGAAATACTCCCTCAAAGCTAATCCCTGCTCAATCCAGCCTTCACCTCGGCCTTTCTACCGAACGGCGACAGCACCAGGCGGGTGTCAACCCCCCACGGCATGCGCCACTCTGCTCTTCCCTCCTCCTCCCTTCCCCTCCTGGTCCTCCTCCTCCCTTTCTTCTCATCATCATATTTCTCTCTGGAGCGGGCTGAGCACGCGACTCACGTCAGGCGCGAGCGACCGTTGGTCGGAGCGTTCAGCGGAGCGCGTGACGGACGACGGGGCGGGCGAGTTCAAGCCCGCCCGCCTCGAAGCGACGCGAAGTGGCGGCCAGCGCCTCCGTCATGTCGTGCGTAGCAAGGATGATACGCAATCCTATCTGGCCTCCGAACGACGCCGGTGGGGATGTGACTGGCGCTCCACAAATAGAAGCAAGACGGAAGGGTTCAGCATTTCCCTTCCGAAACTGGTCAAGTGATCCCTGGCGAGCGAGACACCCGGTTTGGGACTTTTGCTCATGAGGCCGTTCGGAAGCACGGTTCCCTCCGCAATCCGAAAAAAAACTTCACTGCGATTTTTTTCCTGGGCAATCTGGAGCATCCCCAGCGAAATTCCAAAAGTTTCAGGAATTCTGAAGATTTCGGGAATCCTAAAGATTTCACGGGGAGCCTTGAAGGATCCCCGAAAAAAAAATCCCAAGGATTGCTTCAAGCACCCCATGGGTTTCGGGGCCGTGGGGGTACGGTCGGGATTTGTTACTTAGCGTGTCGCGGCAGCGGCCCCCGCGACACGAAATACCCTGCAGGCAGATAGAGCGT